AGCGCGTAGTGGTGCGCCCTCGATATCGACAGCCTCGGCATAGAGATACGCCAGACGCGTCACTGGACGCTCCCCCCACATCTCATTGACTCCTTAACTAATCTATTAAGAAGAAGGAACTCTAGTCTAGATATTGTCCACCTTTCTAGGGTGGTGGCGGTGTCGGCTGCGGGCGGAGGAGAGTAACGATTGTGTCCGCAAAAACAGAAACCCGCTACCGACCCCAAGCCGATTTCACCCACTTCCTTCCTTTTTTTAATTTAGGGGGGGGAACCACCCCGGCGCCTGGATGAACCCCGTCAACATGCCTTGCATCTCCAACGTTGCCTTTTTCTTCCCTCTCAGCTCGTTTGTCTTCCTTCTCCCTCCTTGCCCTTGCCCTTGCCCTCGCCCTTGCCAGCCGTGTCCGGCCTGCTGGTGGTGGTGCTTGCTCCAGCGGTGTGATCGACCAACCCATGGCTACGGCAACAGTGCGACCTTTTACTGACGATGACGGGGTGTGCATGGCGTGGCGGGCGGCGGCATCGGATGATGATAGGCTGCGGTGACGCGTGATCTGGCGCAGAAAAAGCTTGTGTATCTGTACCTGGCGTCGTATGCCGAGTCGCATCCAGACGTGGCGCTGCTTGCGGTCAACACGCTGCAGCGCAATGCAGCCGATGTCGATCCCATGGTGCGCGGGCTTGCGCTGCGGACACTGTGCTCGCTGCGGCTGGCGAATCTTGCCGAGTACACTATTCCTGTTCTCGCCAACGCGCTGGGCGATCCATCACCGTATGTGCGCAAGACTGCAGTGGTGGGGGTGGTCAAGATTGCGGCAGTTGCGCCGAATGCGGTGGCAGCGGCCGGCCTGCTGGACACGGTGCGGCTGATGGTGCAAGACGTGTCGCCTGCGGTAGTGTTCAATGCGGTGATGGCGCTGCATGAGATTGCGGCGCCGCAGGGCGGGATTGCGCTGACGGAGAAGCTTGTGCTGTATGTGTTCAACCGGCTGCGCGAGTTTGACGACTGGGCGCAGGCGGCGCTCATCACGCTGTGCCAGGATTTTGTGCCGAGCTCGGACGAGCAGCGATATGCGCTTATGGACGTTCTCGACGCGCGGCTGCAGAACCTCAACTCGGGGGTGGTTCTTGCCGCCATCTCGATGTTCCTGAGGCTGACCCAGGACGTGCCCGAGATGCATGCGCAGGTACTGGCACGGGTCAAGGCGCCGCTGATTACGACGCTGTCGCGGGCGTCGCCGGAGATGGCGTACAGTGTCCTGCAGCACTGCCGGCTGCTGGCGGACCGAGCGCCGGCGGTGTTTGCCGACGAGTATACCTCGTTCTTTGTGCTGTACTCGGACCCGCCGTATGTTGTGGAGCTGAAGCTTGCGCTGCTGGAGCAGATTGTGACGCCCGACAACTGTTCAGCGATCATTGCCGAGCTTGCCGAGTATGTGCGCGACGTGAATCCTGCGACTGCAACGCGGGCGCTGCGAGTGCTGGGCTCTGTCGGCCTCGCGCTTGTTCCGGCGGCCAAGTACGTGCTGCGGGAGCTGTTCTCGTTTCTCGACTCGACGACGCCGTACGTGGTCGACGGCGCGGTGGTGGTCATGAAGGATCTAGTGCGCAAGTACTCGGACCTTGCGCCGCACCTGCTTGACCGGATCCCGGCCATCCTTCCGCGGGTTGCTGATCCGGGCGCGCGCACCGTCCTCATCTGGATGCTCGGCGAGCATGGCGAGGGACTGGAGCGGGCGCCGTACATGCTCGAGGCGCTGGTCGCCGACTTTGAGTCGGAAGATTCGCCTGCGGTCAAGCTCCAGATGCTGACCTCGTGCATGCAGCTGTTCCTCAAGCGACCCGGCGAGATGCAGCCAATCCTTGGTCAGCTCTTGGCGGTTGCGACGGCCGACAACTCGGTGGCCGACGTCCACGACCGCGCGCTCTTCTACTACCGCCTGCTGGAAGAGGGGCCCGACGCTGCGCGCGAAGTTGTCATGGCCCCAAAGCTGTTTGTAGAGACGTTTGCAGAATCAGAGCACCCGGAGCTTGTCGACACTCTCTTTGACGAGTTCAACACGCTCTCGGTCGTCTACCGCGCGCCGTCGGAGACTTTTATCCACCAGCGCGCCCCGTACGTGCTCGGCAAGACGCGGTTTGGCGGCGATCCGGCAGCATTTGACTCGGACACCGACTCGGACGACGGCGGATTTGTGGCGCCAGCGGTGGACTCGGGCGCACCTCCTGGCGGAAGCTCACCGGTGGCGGAAGCACTGGCGCCGGCAGAGTCCGCTCCGGTCCGCGGCGACCTGCTCTCGCTGGACCTGGGCGCTACGCCGGTGTCGAGCGCCGGCCCGGCGGCGAACCCGCCGAACCTCGGCATCGAGTCGGAACTGACCGGGGCTGCGAACTTGACACAGGGCCGGTTCCAGGAGCTGTGGCAAGCATTTGGCCGCGGCGAAGAAGTCGAGTTTCCGATCCAGGCTGCGCTGTCGATGGAGCAGGTGGAGAACACGCTTGGGGCGTTCCGGATCGTGTGCATGGCATCGGGCAGCGTCGAGCCGCACCTGGCCAAGTTCTTCTTTTATGGACAGACGCTCTCGGGCGACTACATTCTCATGCAGCTGGTCATCGACACGGCGGCCATGTCGGGCTCTGCGGTGGTCAAGACCCGGTCACCGATCCTGACCAAGTTTGTGTCGACAGTGGTCAATGTGCTGTCGGCGGCGTCGATGCGGGCGGCGTCGGCAGGAACGCCGGCGGCGGCGGCAGCAGCCTCGCTCATTTGAGGCGCAGGTGGAGGGTGGCGTTGGGAACGAGGCCTGCGGCAGCCAGGCTCTCCGTCGCGTCTGCGTATACCTTGGGAGGAAAGGTGGTGCGGAGCTCGTAGCGTCCGCGCTCGAGGCCGAGATGTGTGGCGATGGCGTCAAATACAGTGTTGAGCGTGTCGCCGTGGCTCAGCTTGAGCAGGAGCATCGGCGACGCCACCGACTTGACCCGCAGCGTGGTGATGGCCTTGGCCGAGCTGGGGCGGGCGGTGGCGGACGACGGCACGTTGGCGTTAGCCACCTCAAGCTCTTTGAGGATTAAAGTGGGGACGACAATGACGTCCGACGGCGACCCGGGCTTGCCGCTCCCGCCGACCTGCAGCAGTTGGGCGACGTCCGATCGGACGGCGTGGACCTTGCCGTCGCGGACAACGCGCTCCGGGAGGCGGGCAAGGAACTCGGCGGCGCCGACTTGGCGGTCCGCAGCTCGGCTTCCCACGCCGTTCTGTCCGCTGACGACAACAGAGCCGTCGGCCGAGCGGCCAGCGCCAGAGAAGGGAGCAACCTCGAGCTTGGGCGTAAAGACCTCGGTTGTCCGCGGCGTGACGTCAAACGGCACACCATCTGGGTAGCGCTCTTGGAGCTCCGACGGAAAGTAGCCGTCAAAGACGTCGGCCAGAAAGTCGTAAGCTGTCGAGACGCCGGTCTCTGGATGCGGCGCAAACGAGCGGAAGATATCGTCGGCCGGCGTCCCCGATCGCGCCATGATCAGGCCGTTGGCATAGAGCGTAACGTCGATGGCCTGAACCTGAGCAAGCCGGCCGCCGCGGGAGTGCTCGCTGCTCGCCACAACCTCGGCCGTTCCGTCGCCGGCCACGTAGTTGAGGTGCTTGAACCGGGCAAGAAGAACCGTGAGGTCGAACGGAAAGACGACCGGAGGGGGCGTAGCCTCGCCGCCGGTGTGATCACCTCCCTCGTTGCCAGGCTCTATGTCGTTGCTGTCGTCGACGCTGACGTCGTCGTCGTCGTCACTGTCGGAACCGTCGCCGACCCAGATGAGGCCATAGTCGGCGAGAAAGCCATCGATCTCAGAGATGTGCTTGCGGAGCCGGGCGTTCTCGTCCTGCAGCCCAGCAATGAGCGAGCTCTGGCCATCAGCAGCAGCAGCGCCCGCCTCTAGCTCGGCAATCTTCCGCCTCAGGACAGCGATGGCAGCATCCTTTTCACACAGCTTGTCCTTCAGCTCAGCGTTTTGCGCCTCGACCCTTGTAAGCCGCGAGACAACGACGGAGACCAGGCCCGAGTCCGTGGCAGACATGGAAGCCGGACCGACCCGCGATCCGCTGGCCAAGCGAGTCTTCTCCGACGCTACAATATGGCTCGGATTCAAATCGGAGGGCATTCCTTGGTCAGAGCCACCATCGCCCTCTCCAGCAGCAGCACCAGCAGCAGCAACTTCTTGCTCAAAGACCGGCTTGACCGACCTCGGCGGCGGATCCAGAGCCAAGTCACGCATCAGCCTTGCCTGCAGTGCCGCATCTGCATCACGATCGCCTGTGAATGCGTTTGACGAGTACGGCGAGGGCCGGAAGACAGGAAGAGCGCTGCGCAAGGAGGGGGGGGAGGGGGGGGTGAGGGTGGGGGGGGGGGGGGGGTGCCTGTGGAGTGAGTGCCGTCTGTGGCGGGTGTTCCACGCGCGGATGCGCGCCAAAGTTGGCTGCGCAAATGGTTTCGTAGTTTGATTTCTGCAATTGGTTCGGTGGTGTTGGTGCCGGTGCAGATGCTGATGCTCATTGATGACGTGAAACGGAGGAGAGGGAGGGGAGGAGGGAGAGAAGCCACAACATCATCATTGGAATGTAAAATGTACATCCCTTTGCCTATACCCTCTGTTATTATCATCATCATCATCGTCATCATCATGGTCCATCGATCACCAGGTTTTCGTGAAACAGCCCACCACTGCTAGCGACTACATATACGACGACATATGTATGTAGTCGCTGGGTAGCAGTGACGGGCTGTTTCTTTTTGTGCGGAGAAAAAGCGGAAGAGGTGCGGAGAGTGATCAATATTTTCAATCATGACCATTCAACGCTCTCCAATAGAGAGGCGACAGACATTGGCCCAACCTCGTTGTTTGCCTGGAGGACCATCTTACAGAAAAGGTCGTAGAGTGTTCAGAGCAAGAACCATTATGAGTGGTAGCATGTTGTTTGCACTGGAATGTGTGGTGGTGGTGGTGGGGCTTGTTCTCGCTCTCCCTATCACCCTCTCTGAGCCCACAACGTACTCCATGGACGCCACCGTCGCATCGTCTGCCTTTGTCGGCGCTCAGCTGTCGGGATCGGTGTCGGACTCGCCCAGCCAATGGCAGATGGATAATGGCGTAACAGGCGGTCTGCTCTTTGCTTTTACTCCCGACGGCCTCAACTCGTCCACAGGCCATGTCCATGTCCTTCCATCCTCCACCCTCCTCTTTCCCGGAGGCTCCAACGTGGCGCTTCTCGGCTCGATGAGGGTTGCTGCCAGGCCGTTCGACGAGCCCGACGCTCTCCTCGCCCTGCCCTTCTCTGATGCGGCGTGGCAGGTGCCGAATGGCCTCTCGGGCAGGGCAATGATCCCCAGCAGCTTCCAATCGTCTTTGCTTGGCGACACTTCGAGCTTCCAGATGTCCGGTAGCGCCGTCGCGGACTCACTCACTCTCGCCTTCAACAGCCCATCGTTTGGCACGCACCTGGGCCTGTACGTCACGCCGGCATCGTGTGCATCGACCTCGTGTGATGTGTTCCTCTCACCGCTGCCTTCGCTCACTGTGAACTACTATCACGTCTGTCCGGTCGTTAGCGGCGTGGCTAACGCGCGGGTCCGCGATTCGGAGCACACGTCGCAACCGTACGCGCCGGTGGGCGAGAACCTGGTCGTCGAGTGCGAGTTGGGCGCCAAACTTGAACCGCCGCACTCGGGCAACGCCATCGCGGTCACTTGCTCCCCCGACGGTAGCTACTCGCCGACTATCGGCTCCGTGGCGTGCGCGTTTCCGCCGCCGCCGCCGCCGCCGTATGCCTGTGAACTCCTCCCGCCACCGACCAATGGCAACATCTCGTTCTCCAATTATGGCTACCGCGGCTCCATGGCGACGTCAGTCTGCAACGCCGGCTATGATCTTGTGTCCGGATCGACTACCCGCGAGTGCACCGGCGAGTCCGGCTCGCCGCCAGGCAACGGCGGGAGCGCAGGCAGCGAACCGCCGGGATGGTCGGGCATCCCGGTCTCATGCATCGTCGTCGAGTGTCCTGGACTGCTTTGGCCGACCAACGGCGTCATCTCGTGTTCGGGCGCATCATCTCCGTCGGTGGAGGGCGCGTACCAGGAGCAGTGCAATACGACGTGTAATGCTGGATTCTCGCTTGTCGGCGCAGCGACGCGGACGTGTCGGGCCGACTCGACATGGAGCGGCAGCATAGCGCCGTTTTGCTCCTCGTTTAACATCTCGACCTCGTACGCCGTATTCCAGGGCCCAACCGAGCTTCAAGTGCCAGCCGGCGCCACGCTCGGGTTCTCGGTCTCGGTCCGCGACTCTAGCGGCTTCCCGGTCATGACCGGAGCCGACGCGCCGATGGTGCGCACCTCGCCCGACGGCGTCAACCTTGTCAGCGAAACGGTGTACCGCGGCAACGGGCTGTACAACGCGCTCTTTCCAGTGGCGACCAAGGTCGGCAACTACCTCTACGAACTTGGTGTCAACAATCTCCCGTTCGAGACTGCCCCCAACGTGCTCAATGTCACAGTTGTGCCGGGCCCGCTCGATCCAGGCACGACGTATGTCGAGTACAATGGCGAGGAGCTGGTCGACTCGCAGCTGGACATTGCCACATCGGTTGCGCTCGAGTATCACATCGTCCTCCGGGATGAGTACGAGAACGCGCTGGTACGCCTTCCCGCTGGCGGAACAAGCGTATTTTCGGTCATCCTCAAGCTCGGCTCGGTCGTCACGCCGGTATTGTACCTCAACGAGGTGACGGAGCCTTCGGCCCGACTGGCGCTTGGCATCTACGTCGAGGTCGGCGGCACGTACACCATGTCGATCAAGGCTGGTGTCACCGACATTGCACTCTCGCCGTTGATTGTCAACGCGGCGCAAGTCTGCCAGCCGGGCTTCAAGGTCTTTTCCGAGTTTGCTTGCACCGGATGCGGGATCTCGACCTACTCGGACACGATTGGTGCGCCCGAGTGCACAGCGTGTCCACAGTATGCGACGTCGCCGGAGCTCTCGTCGACGTACCTCAACTGCTCGTGCTTACCAGACTACTGGTTTGGGCCGGAGCCGCGGACTGCGGCGTCGATCTGCATTCCGTGCCCAGTGGGCGGAGTGTGTGACGGCGGCGACTCGTGGCCGTACTCCGGGACGGGTTACTTTGAGAAAGAGCCGGGCTCTGCGGTGTTTGTCGAGTGCGAGCGAGCAGGGGCGTGCGCGGGCAGCAACGGGTGCTCGCCGGGTCATCTCGGGTACATGTGCAACGAATGTGCGCCAGGCTACCACACCGGGCCATCGGGCAACTGCCGCAAGTGCCCCAAGTCATCGTGGGCGCTCATTCTACTGTTGATGGTGCTCATTGTGGGGCTGGCCGGGGCGGTGGTGGCGGTTCTTGCGCTCACTCTCTCCAAGCAGCAGGAGCATCCCGAGGGTGACGCACTGCTCAAGATGGGACTGCGGGTCCGCCTCATTCCGGCGACTCTGTCGATGACGATTGTGGCGATGCAGGTGGTAGGCATGCTGTCTGAGAGTCGGCTGGGATGGCCGACGACGGCAAGGTCGGCGATGCGGCTGGCATCGGTGTTCAACATTGACATGCGGGTGTTTGGCACCGAGTGCACCATCGGCTCGTTCCACAACAACTACGTGTTCTCGGTCTCGCTCCCGCTCATGCTCGTGGCTGCGCTGGCTGTCGGGTTCTTCCTTCTCAAGCTGACGCGGCACATGTTGCTGTGCAAGGTGCTCCGGGTGAGGTCGATGAGGGCTGCGCCGTTTCTGGACGGCTCGCTCTTCACCATCATGCCCGTGCTGTACATTCCGATTGCGCGTACAACGCTAGTGTACTTTGACTGCACACAGCTGCCCAACGGCAACTTTGTGCTCGATGCCGATCTGGGCGTCAAGTGCTTTGACCATTCGTGGTGGGCGCTGTTTCCGGTGGCGGTGACAGCGGTGACGCTGTATGTGGTCGGCCTTCCGCTGTACGCGCTGGTGCGCCTGGTAACGAACCGGGCGGACCTCTTTGAGCCGCATGTCTTCTCGCGGTTTGGCGCGCTATACAAGCTCTACCGCACGCCGTTCTATCTGGGTGAAATCGCCAACATGAGCAAGCGGCTGCTGCTTGTGGTGGCGTCACTATTTCTTTCTCGGGCGCAGATCGCGCAGGTCGGGCTCATTCTGGCAGTGCTCTTTACTGGCTTGCTGGTGGTTGTCCGGCACGAGCCGTACTTTTATCCGCTGTACAACACGACAGACCGGCGAATCTCGCTCGCGCTGGTCCTGCTGGTCTTTGTCGGCATGGGCGCGTACACCGAGCGCGGGGCGGACAACTCGTCGCCCAACGCGTACTTTACGGCTGCGACGATTCTTGTGCTCATCGCGCTGTTTCTTATCTGCTCGGTGGCGATTACGACCGAGATGCGTGAGCTGTTCAATGAGCGATCGCACAAGTACTCGGGCTACACCCACCGCGGGCGGATGCTGCGGCGGCACATTGACGGGCAGCTGCCGGACCTACGGCCCGGGCTCGCCAATCTGCTTCAGAACGCGTTCGAAGCTGCTGAGGATGCCGAAGCCCGTGGCGACTACACGCTGAAGGGAGCGCTGAGCTCGTCTGCGTCAGCGCTACACCTTCCGCTGGCGCGGGCTGAGCTCTCACCTACTCTCGCCACCGACCTTCCGCCGGAGCTTGAGGACAGCAGCAAGGCGGATGCGCTCTCGCGGATCGACTCGATTGCGCTCGAGGACACAGGCGGCATGTTCTTCAACCCGGTGTACTTTGTGGATGAAGGTGACGAGGAGGACGATTTCGACCGGCAGGTCTCGGGTGTGTTCGGCATGCTGGCCGCCGGAGGCTCATCCGGCGCGCTGGCCGCGGGGGATCGTCAACGACGCTGGCCTCGACCCACTACAGCGCGAACCCGCCTACGCCGCGGATGACCCCGTGGATGGACGCGATTTCCGAGTCGACATCGTCATTGGAAGGCGATGAGTCTGCGCCGTGGGACTGAATAGACAAACAGCAGAGAGCCTACTCTGGCTCGTCGTCGATCGGCTCGGGGTCGAAGCGCTTCTTCAGCTGCTCCATAACGATAAAGATAATGATGACGCGCGGGCCGATACGGGCAAAGTTGGGCCAGAAGCCGTTCCACAGGCAGAGAACGCCTTCGGCCTTGACCGACTTGATGAAGCAGTCGATCATGGACTTGTACAGCTTGCCCTTCCCGGTTGCCGGGTCGCGCGGCTGGTTGAGCATGCGCGACTTGGCAACGTCAAACGGCGACGAGGCGAGTGCCGAGACAAAGCCGGCGCCCGTAGCGGTGACGGCGTGGAGCGGGAGCCCATTGTCCGAGTGCGAGCCAAGGAGCCGGTGCTTCTGGATAAAGTACTTGAGCTCGTCGTAGGCCGGGAGCTCTGCCGCGGCGAGGACGGTAGCGCGGGCGCATGTCGGCCCGACACCGGACCACAGCGCGAGGACGCCTTCGTTGCGAATGATGTGGGTAAAGGCGTGAAGCAGCGAGGTGTAGCGGGTCTTGACAGCGTCGCCGGCCATGCCGGCAGCCTGCATCCGGACCTTGATCAGATCCGCCGGGTTGCAGATAGCCGAAGAGAGGGCGCCAGCGCCGGCGCCGGCCACCACCTTGAGAGTCAGCGGCATCTGGTCTTTGGGCATATCGGGCGGGATACCCAGGAGCGTCTTCATCGGGGTGTACAGGCCATAGCGCATCGAGCCGTACGTGGCCTGGCGGAGCAACGCCGGCGAGAGGCCCCCAAACAGGGCTTTGATGCCCTCCTTGCGGGCCATTGTGCGGACGGCATCAAAGACGCCAGTGTACGCCCTGGTTGCACCCAGTTCGCCCTGAAGCTGGAGGCGGGTCTGTAGCCAGTCGCAGCGGTAGTAGATATCAGCGATTGACGGCAGATACCAGCGAGTGGCGGCAGATGCCAGTGAGTGGCGGCAGATGCCAGCGAGTGGCGGCAGATGCCAGCGAGTGGCGGCAGACACCAGCGATTGGCGGCAGATACCAGCGAGTGGCGGCAGATACCAGCGATTGGCGGCAGATACCAGCGATTGGCGGCAGATACCAGCGATTGGCGGCAGATACCAGCGATTGGCGGCAGATACCAGCGATTGGCGGCAGATACCAGCGATTGGCGGCAGATACCAGCGATTGGCGGCAGATACCAGCGAGTGGCGGCAGATGCCAGCGATTAGCGGCAGATACCAGCAAGGTCAGCCCCAAGCCGTCATTCGAATGTTCGACATCCGCCGCAGTGCGGCATTTTGTTCGTTCCGCGCGCCACCAGCGAACACAGCCACGAGACACGGAGCCATTCCCAGGGCAACCAGAGCGAGTACCACATCCAATGAGTACAGAGCCAGACCCAAGTGACCCTCCACTGTCTCTTGTACCTACCCATTCCCTTCTCTGTCCATCCAACTCCCTCTATCACCCACCCTGCCCCTGTCCTGGCTGCTGCCTGCCCTGGCTGCCCACCGCCCTCCCCCTTCCCCCTGCTCCACCCTCTGCCCAATACCAGCCGTACCTTGACCACATCGATGGGAATGGTGCAGCACTCGGCAACACATGAGGCGATGCCACCAAAGGCAAGTCCGATGGCCACTGATGATGAATCCATCTGATTTCAATTGGTGGAGATGAGTGAGATGACATAGTATGCTGCCTGCTACTGCGACTGCCGACTGCGGCTGGTACTGCTGATGAGCGTGTCCTCTCGGGTCATCAGGGCGAGGAGGGGAGGGGTTGGACTCTTTGACTGATGCAAGGACTCTAGAAGTGAGCGATGGTGGGATCAGAGATGAGAGACGTAGGATGGTGGTATTGGGCGTCGGCTCAGTGAGCAGGATCTGGGGGGGGGATGGATGATGGTGGCATGACGTAGGAAGAAGAAGAGTGGAGGCATGAGATCAGGGTGGGAACTCCATGATCATGTTAGAGAATGTAGGCGGTACGGGTAGAGGGGCTAAAGCGTCAGATGCCGCTACTTGCGCACTCCAAACGAGACCGGGAGCCCCATCTTGGAACGTATGTCGGCCTCGGCTTTGGCGGCCGCAAGCGCGGCCGAGTTCATGCCGAGCTGGCTCGACGAGCCCAGTCCGCCCAAGACGGCGGTCTCTTCGCGCTTGCGCTTGCGCTTCCGCTTGCGGACGGCGCGCTTCTCGGCGGCGACGGCCTCATTGGCCTCGATCGCCGCGTCAAGCGTGTACGCGTCCGCAGCCGCAACCGGGGTGCCCTCGGGTGCCAGCTCGCCAAGGGCACGACGACGGCGGAGGTCCTTACGATGGGCACGAGCCTCGCGCTTGGCTGCCACCAGCTCGTCCAGATGGGCGATGACATCCTTTGCCGGCACGTTCTCCACCCGCATCGACATGCCCAGGGCCTTGGCATGCCGCCGCGAGGCCATGTGCGCCAGATACGCCATCGAGTCGGTCAGCACTGTGTCGCACACCTTGCAGTGGTAGCCGGCCCGGAGCGTGCCTGCCCGCAGCCGCACCCGCTTCCCCACAGCCTTGTCTACGTCCACAACCTCGGATCTCTTCAGATTGCCTCGCATCTTGTGCTTCAGCCGCACCGCGCCCTTGCTCTCCGGTGCAGCGAGTCCACCAGCTCCTCCACTTCCGCCAGCAGCCCCAGCAGTAGTGCCACCTGCCGCCGCCGCCGCCGCCGCCGCCGCCGCCGCCTCGGCCTCGGCTTCCTCGGCAGCCGCAAGCTCCTTGGCCCGCGCCGCTGCGCTCTCTGTATCCCACACCTTGCGGAATGTGTGGTCGACACCCGACATGTTGGTTGGTGTGTGTATAGGGGGGTGAGGTGGGGGGGGGGAGCTTGGCGGGGTCCGCGACTTGGCTCGGCTCTGATCGGCTTGGCTCGACTCAACCGGCGGTGAGCTGGTAGGTGATGGGACTGGTGCTCGATCTGGGACAATAGACAGCACTCAACAGACAGAGTGTGCACGAGGGCGCGGGATCAGTTTAGGATGACGGATGATAGTCAGAATGCGCCACCCTGCCGATCGAGTCGCATGTTGTAGAGGATGGCAAGGAGTGAGGCGTAGAGGGAGAGGGTCTTGCCGATGAGACTTGGCGTGATGAGGATGGCACCAAAGAGGCGGAAGCCGGCCTGGCGGTGTGAGATGATGGTGATAAATGGGGCGGTTCGTCGCGGGTGCGCTCCAGCTTTGGCAGTGGATCTCGTCAGCGCTGCAACGATGCCGGAGGTGCCCTGGGCGTGAACACGCGCAGCGCCGCCGATGACAACGAGGGCAACCGCCAGCGTGGCCAGAAACCAGAATAGCTGCACCATGAGGATCTCAGACGAGTCAATGGGGGCCACAACGAGGCGGAAGGCAAGAAAGACGTTGAGCGCACAGTGCGCCACCATAACAATGCCGAGATGAATCCGCCCAAACCGCGAGATAAAGTCCATCCGATCAGTTATGACCCTGTGGCGGGCGTTGATCCACGGCCCAGGCTCGGCATCGTCCCCGCTCCCAATGTCTGTGGCAAGCGCCGCATACTGGCCGCGAACCACGTTGAGAAGGAGCAGGTATGGCAGGAGCGGAATGAGCCATGCGATCGAGCCCACAACGACGCTGAACTCAAAGACCACTAGGTACACGCGGCTATCCTTAGCCGGCCCGCGAAAGTCGTCCCACACCTGGGTCAGCACCCCTTCGTTGTTGATCTCCGCCATCGGCGCAATGGTCATGTCCAAAACCGTCAGCGGAATCACAATGAGCAGCCCGATAATAAAGGCGCGATTGAGAGAGCGGACCGCCACCCGGGCGCTCCATGAGCTGTCTGCTGGTGCCTCCTCGTCGACGTCCGAGTACGATTTGACTTGGTGGACAAGATCAGGTAGGACGCCTAGCAGCAGGTTAGCGAACCAGCGCGGTGGCATGATCAGCGCCATGCAGAGATAGACAAGGCCGACTTGACCTACAAACAGCACCCCAAGAACGGTCATGGTTGGGAAGCGCGAGTCGTGGATGCCCGCCGCCCCAATGATGGCAACCGCTACGCACATCAGACCCAATGCCGAGGCCACACATTGTGCCACCCGCCCCTCTATCTGTTTGTCGCTCCGATCCAAAAACGTAGCCATCAGTACCCACTCCATGGCCCGCATCCCTATCCCCGCCGTCGCCACATTCATCGCACTGCCGCCGCTCTCGCCCTTTGCCCGACTCGCACAGCTCCCGGACAAAGTCAAATCCGAGCTCAAGCCCGAGCCCGAGCTCCAGCCGCTCTCGGTGGTGTACTCCGATTGTGCCCTTGTGTATCTACCCATGTCCCTTTGTCCTGCACCTATACTCGTCCGCAGCCGCCGTGGCTCAGGCAGTGAGCTGTGCCCTTCCCCAACCACTACCAACCGATCACCGCAACCATCAGAGGTGAAGAGATGCCACCACAGCAGCCACCAGTACGACTTCTGCCTCCTGATCACCCGTGCGTGACCAAGCCCACCACCACGGCCATCCCTTCATCCCTTCACGCTGGCGATCATCTCCTCAGCATCGCCCGGATGTCGTGCCCTCATCCTCACCAACCACACTCATCCCCACCTCCATCTGCCCCGATGTACATCCTCGCAATCTCAACACGCCATGATCACCACCCTGTCACACCCCCGATGATATGATCCATCCTCTTCGCCCTTCATGTCGCCGGCCTGCCCTCCCCTATCCGCGCATATTGGCCTCATCCTCACCAACCACACTCATCCCACCTCCATCTGCCCCGATGTACATCCTCGCAATCTCAACACGCCATGATCACCACCCTGTCACACACCCACGATGATATGATCCATCCTCTTCGCCCTTCATGTCGCCGGCCTGCAGTCGGCCGGCCCCCAACCCCGTCCCCTCCCTCAACCACTGCGACAGCGCCAAACGGCCACCACCTCACGCCGCCACCAGACACACACTCGCACACACACGCACATACTCACTCACACTCACGCACATACACAGAGTGGTGTATATGGTCAAGTCACTTGTGCAGACATGCCCCGAATGGCCACCTCTTCCTGATACCCTCGGCTCTGTGGCCTTCAATGAGCGTGTGTGGTTCCTGACGGCGAGCCCTGCTGCCGTCTCCAACCTCTTCTCCAACATCATTCTCGCCGAGTATGGCCATGCAGAAGCGCCTCTGCTCGAGTCCATGATCCGACTGGAAGCCGCACGTGCTGCCTATGCCGCTGCTGACTATATGCTCGCCATGGAGAAGATGTTTGAAGCTCTTGAGTTCTGGATCTTTGTCATGCCGCCCGCAGACAAGCATCGCAAGCGCCTGCAGAGTCAGACTTTTCATGCCACTCTCTGCTGTGGCATACATATGGCAAGAAGAGTGGCTTCCACTGCTCGCGCTGGCACCGCTAGTCGGAGATCGGCACGCCCAGAGTCGGTTCTGGCCTCAATCGCCCCGCTGACTGCCGCCGGTCAGAGCCACGGCGATGCGGCTCCAGCTCGCGTCTCGGAGAACGATGAGGCCGCCACCCAAGCAGTCTTTCTCCTCAAGCGGGCGCTCACCTTTCTCAAAGCCAAGTATGTGACCAAGAACAAGGCCGATCTTCTTGCTCTGGTCCACAACGCACTGGCCACGGTCTCGTTCCACACTGGCTCGCTCGCCCTCGCTCGGGTCTACCTCGAGAAAGCCATGGACGGCTCGTCGCGGTGGTTGTCAGTTGCGTCTGGCCCGCCTTTCAAAAATGTGCTTGCTCGCGGGACGGCCATTGCCACTGCGCTGCGGCACGCGTTGCTGATGTACGCCGATGATGCCTACCTACGGGCGCTGACTCGGACCCGGTTGGCGCTGGAGTTGGCCTGCCGCGCCCACGCCGGCTGGGCCTGGAGCTCGCTTTCGTGGTATGATGTCCCTGCGTCAGAGCTTATTGGCGTCGCTTGCCACAACGCTGCGGTCTACGTCATTGTCTCGTCGTCACGGGTGGAGCTCGCGCTCGCCGCCGCCGCCGCCGCCGAGGCAGCCAACTCGACGTCTGTTTCAGACGCCGCAGCCTCAGCGCTCGCTGCCGACCTCGTCGACGCCATGGCAGCCCACGATCTCTCGCCCGACGCAGCCGCCACTGCGCTTGAGATGGCCCGCATCCCCCGCCCGCTGGAAGAGCTCACTGTCGAGCTCGCCGATCTGGAGGCTGCGCTTGCTGCAGAAGACAAGAAGCTGCGCGTTGGGCTGAGCGCAAGCCACTCGGGCCGGCCGTCGTCCGCGTCGACCCGCCTCATTCCCGCATTGGCGTCGTCAGCCGCCCATCCACGTGCACACCTGGAGGCCCCTCCCGGTACTCGCTCGCGCCGCAAGGCCTCCGAGAAGCCAATGACCTCGATCTCGACGTACATTGCGCTCCAGCACGCGCCGCCCGACGAGGCCCTTGCCCGCAAGACTGCCGCCCGCAAGGCGGCCGCTCGCAAGTCGCGCGCCGCCAAGGCCGAGCGGCGGCGCAAGGCCAGACTACAGCGTGCGCAGCTGTCGCTTCCCGACTCTGTATCGCGCGCCGACACGCTTGCCATGCTGGAGGAGAGCCTCGAAGTCTACGCCCCGCATCGTGAGGGTGTGCATGTCGTCTGGGATGCTGAAGACAGCGACGCGTCGTGGCTCATGCCGTCGTCATTTGACGCCAACGCCGACACTGCCGCATCCCCCCCCAGCCGTCTTGGCATCGATGCCCTCGCCACAACAGCCGAGCCGTCGATCCAGCACGCTGCACCTCCTCACCTTGTTCCGTCGACCTCGCTCTGCTCGGCGCTCACCACCGCCCCCTCATCGGCCACCTACTGTCCGCCTGACATCTGGATTCGAACAGTTGATCCGTTTGCCGAGTAGTCTCGCCACCTCAAACAAGTGCCGCCACGCCACCAGTCTCGCCGTTACCAACTACTCTCCAGCTCCCGATCTTGCCCCATCATCATCCCCCATCTCTAATCCCCGTTCGAACCAACCGACCTCCCAACTTCCCTCTCCCCCCCCTTTCAACTGAGCGTGCACGATATGATGCCGGTCGATAAGCCAACCTAGCGAGCAGGAGCTGTCTGCGGGGCAGAGACGAGCCGAGCCGGAACCAGAGCCCAAGCCGAGCCGAGCCGAGCCGAGCTCAAGTCAGGCAACGAGCTAGCCACCACCTCTCTAGGCACGGCACCAGCTCGGCGAGGTCCTCAATCAGGGGAGCAACGTGAGACAGAGGGGAGGCGGCATGCCCCGTGGGCTCAACGACTCTGCCTCGCTGCATGCAGCCCTTGCGTCGTCGGCGACTGCGGCGTACGAACGGCTGCAGAGCAGTGGCGGAAGTGGTGGACTAGGCGGGAATGGCGGACATGGCGGGAATGGTGGGCATGGTGGAAATGACGGTGGTCGAAATGGTGGCGGGTGGAATGCTGGTGGTGGCGGCGGCGGCGGTAGTGGCCATGGCGATGGAAGAGGGCGGACCATCAACGAAGAGGGAAGAGGACCTGGCGAGGAGGTGGTCCCGGACGCGCTGGCGGTGGTAGTAGAGCAGCCCGAGGCTGTTCGCAGTCTGGTGAGCCAGCTGGATCTTTCGCATCAGGGCATGGCTCATGTTCCGTTTGTTTTGACCGATCTGCTGCCGGCGCTGCGCATCTTGGACTTGTCGTTCAATGATCTGCGCGCTCTCCCGGTCGCACGCATGGTTTCCTCTCTGCCAAAGCTGACTGTCCTGGACCTCCGGCACAACAAGCTTGTGGACCTGGCCCACATCTCTGCGCTGGCCGCGCTGAGCAAGCTGGAGGAGCTGCATGTGGGAGGAAACCCGCTGCCGCACGTCTCGCGCAGAGTGCATCTGCTGCACAAGCTCATCTACGACCAGATGGACCGCTATCCGCTGACCGGCTCCGGTATCCGGCCATTTGCGGGGCCCATGGCCGAGTTACTGACGCAAATGTCGGCAAAGTCGTCGCTTGGCTCGTCAACCCGGGCCGAGCTGGACGCTATGGAGGCGCGCGGCGAGTTGAGCCGTGCCCAGCACCAGGAGGCCATTTCGCGGATCATGATGCGCCGCCAAGGCTTGGCGCGAGCCGGTGGGAGCGAGGTGGTCGTCCTCGACGAGCGTGATCCAGACATTCTCTGCTCGGCTCGCCGTGGCATGACCAAGTATCTGGGTGTCTCCGAAGGCGAGCACGCGCCGCACGTCATCAAGCAGCAGCTCGCGCAGTCGTCCGTCTCGCGGCTGGGCTCGGACATCATGTACGCCGACATGCGGCAGGTGCCGATTCCGCGCGATGGCCCGTTTCCCAGCTTGCGTGTTCTCAACGGGCGGCCTGTGACAGTGGAGGACATGGACGCGGCCGAGCGGCTGGGCATATCAGGTGGGACGCAGTTCTCGCAACGACTTGAGGCCGACGCCGAGTTTGTCGAGACATCTGACCTGCTGTCGTCGTCGTCGACTCGCGCCAAGGAGAAAGAGTACCAGGCCATCTACGAGTCTGTCCTCGGCTCTGCCATCACCACCATTGACCGCATGGGCGTCGAGCGCGGCTCGACAAGCAAGAGCAGTACAGCTGCGTCGACGCTCCTCCGCTCTGTTGCCGCCGACGTCCACGCTCGTTCGCAGCGCGACGCACGCCACGCCGCTCGCAAGCGGTTTACCAAGCTGGTAGTCGGCCGAGAAGCCTCTCGCAAGCTCGAGGTCCTTGATCCGGACAGCAAGGACACCGGTCCGCACGAGGAATCACGATACGAGCCGCGGGGTGACGACGGCAGACGCGACGACGACGAGGCCAATGCGGTCGACGCATATCTGGAGCTGCTGAAGAAGACCGAGGCGGCGTCAATGATTTCGGATGACGACATGGCTTCGGTGCTGAAGAACCCAAACTCGACCAAGAAGTTGCGGCAGATCAAGACGCTGACGTCGCGGCAGCGGCAGGCGCGGCGTGGGACTATTCGGCGGGTTGTAGCGCCAGTCGAGTCAGACTCAGAGTCGAGCTCATCGGCCGACTCGGACGTGGCGCATCTGGTGGGCGAAGCCGAGGTGCGTGCACCGGGAAAGGTGCGGTCCAAAGGCGCGACGTCGGCGGCGTCGGACATCTACTATGAGTGTGCGGTGGTGCTCGACCAGTCGCACCGGGTCATCCACAACTCGGCTCCGCCCGAGTCGTCAACGACGGTGTACGATGACCGCAACGTTGTTTCCTCTCACATCCCGTTTGCCGTCTACGCCGACGTGCCCGAGTACGACGACATTGCTGGCGTGGCCCGGACAAACTCAACGTTGCTGGCGCGGACAGTGGCTGCGCCACGGTGGGTGCAGCGCAACCCCAAACTGCGGCAGCGAGCGGCGCAGCTCCGGGAGGCAAAGCGAGCCGAGATGGCCGCAATCGAAGCGGCGCGGCGGGCTGAGGCCGCCGAGGAGCGTCGTCGCGAGCGCCGGCTCGGATTCAAGTCCAAAGCCGAGCTTCCACCGCACATTGAGGTCTCGCCACTCATCTATCAGCAGTTCCAGGGCGTGCGGCGGCGTGTCGAGGGAGTGATCGGGCTGTCGTCGGCACGGGTGGGCCGGATTTCGGGCGCAACCGGCCAGCAGCTCGGTGAGATGTTCCAGGACATGGACGCCGAGTCCATCGAGGTGGCTCTCCGGCAGGCAGACCTCGACCTCGAAATTGACGATGTGCGGTCGCGGTCACGTCAGCAGCTGGCAACCGAGCAGCGGTACCTGGCGCGGATGCGTGAGGCCGCTGAGCGGCGGGCTAGACTCCGCGAGCACCACCGCCGGGTCCACCTCATCAAGCCGGGGTGCTCAGCTCGGCCGACGATATTGTGGCCGACGACGACCTGGCGATGATTGTGCCGGCCAAGGTCGACGAGAGCAAGGCCTCGACGCTGGCCGCGGGCTCGGCGGAGCGGTCGGACGCGGTGACCAAGTCGGCGACAGCTATCTTCAACATGCAGCCGGCAGAGCTGGATGAGTTTCTGTCGACGGCGCGGACCAACGACTTTGACCCAATCTCGGCACTGGCGGCGACCGAGACCGACGGCGGCGACGATGACGACGGCGAGCCGAGGCTGCGCGGCCGCGGGCTCAGTGCGCTGCGTGGCGACACGTCGTACGCGCCTGCTCTAGGCAAGACTCGCGCTGAGGCTGCTGCCGAGCTCGAGAAGCTGCAGTCGTTTACCGAGCGGCGCATGCTTGGCTACGTTGCCGATATGTGCGTACACGAGCCTGACGATGAGTCGAAGCTGGCAGCGGCGGCGATCCGCTCCGAGCTCCGCTCCCGCGAGCGCTAGCTTCCACACGCGGCCACTAGAGCGTAAAGGTGTTGAACGCCATGCCGTACGGCACGACTGGTGGCGAGGTGTAGTACGGCGACGGCGGCGGAAGCGGGTGGAGCCGGCGGGTGGGTGAGTGCGAGAGAGCGCGATTCGGCGAGTGGGTGCGCGGCGGCGAGCTGTGGCCCTGCTCCTCGGTGTGGAGTGAGTAGAGCGAGTCGATGCGTGAGTCGCGCTCATGGAGCGCATCCCAGATTGACTGTATGTTGTCATGAATGGCCGAGAGCTCGCGCGAGGCTGAGTGCGAGGCCGAGCGTGAGCGCGAGCGCGAGGCCGCTGGACACGGACGAGAGCTCGTGCGGGGCCGCCTTGCCGGAGCCGCCGAGACGCTGTGGCTGCGGCTGCGGCTGCGGCTCCGAGTCGGCGACGCTGAATGGGTCGGCTCAATCGATGGCGGACGGGTGGCAAGGATGCGGACGGCGCGCTGGTAGACAACGTCCGGGTTGAGCTCAAAGTCGTCAACCTCAAGCTCGACGTCCAGGCCGTGGAGGCCGGCGATCGAGTCGACCGAGGCAATGGAGGAGACGGAGAGGTCGGCGTCCCGCGGTGAGGCAAGCGGCGACGGAGCGTAAGCGACCGGCAGCGGTGGCAGGTGCGCTTCAGGCGGGATGTGGGAGCGGAGAAAGGCAAGGATGGCGTCGAGACCGGCGTCGGCAACGTCGGGCGGCGGAAACTGGATCGGGTTGCCTCGGAGCTCGAGCTGGGTGAGATGCGGGCAGGCGGCAAGCGAGGGCGGGATGGCGGTGAGTGCATTGAACGAGACGTTGAGGCAGATGAGCGATGAGAGGTGGCCGAGTGAGTCAGGCAACGCCTCCAGATCATTGTTCCATGCGCCGAGAACGGTCAGGCGCGGCAGTGCGCCGAGCGAGTCCGGCAGCCAGGTGAGGGCATTGTTCTTGAGCCAGAGAGCAGTGAGATGCTTGAGATTGCCGAGCGAGTCCGGCAGCTCTACCAGCCGATTGTCATCGAGCCAGAGCATGCGGAGGGCGGAGCAGGCGCCGAGCGAGTGCGGGAGTACGGCGAGATGGTTAAAGTTGACGTGGAGGATCTCCAGAGCCGAGCACGATCCGATCGAGTCCGGCAGCGAGGTGATGTAGTTGGAGACAGCATAGAGCTCGCGGAGCGAGGAGCAGTCACCAATGGAGGTCGGGAGCGACTCGATGCGATTGTTGTCCACGCAAAGGAGCTCCAGAGCCTTCAGCTCTCCGAGGCGAGGCGGAAGGCATCTCAGGTGGTTGTTCTTAACCCACAAGCCCTTGAGAGCCGTGAGCGAGCAGATACTCTCCGGCAATCGCTCCAGCACATTGTTTGAGAGGACCAGCTCAGTGAGATGGACAAGCGAGCCGAGCGAGTCGGGCAGCATCCGCAGCTGGTTGTCGTACAGCCAAAGCTCCGTCAGGTGGCCAAAGCCCACCACGTCCGCAGGCAGGCTACCCAGCCCTCGTCCGCCCAGGTTCAGCTGCCCTGCTCCTGTCCTTGCTTCGGCAAGTACAGTTTCTATGTCGTCCATGGTGGGGGTGGGGTGGGGTGGGGTGGGGGGGGGGGAGGGGGGGAGGGGGAGGGCAGAAGACGCGGAGTTCGGTGAGGGGCAGCGGCATCGGCGGGGGGGAAGACAGGGGGGGGAGGGGGAGGGGAAGAAGGACGCTAAGAGGCTGAGGGTGATTGATGAATGGATGGAGAATGAATTGGGGGAACGATGAAGGGCATGGCAAGGGGGGGGGGATGGGGCGCTTGCTCTTGCAATTACAAGGTCAGAGGCACGGTACGGGTTGTGGTTGATCAAGAGCGGGGGAGGGCGACATGAGAGGGCACGGGCAGAGCGATGCGATGGCTTTATCAAATGAAGCCGCCACCGCCAAAGCCGCCACCGCCAAAGCCTCCGCCGCCAAAGCCTCCGCCGCCAAAGCCGCCACCGTATCCTCCGCCACGCCCGCCGCCACGTCCGCGCCCACGCCCGCGCCCGCGCCCGCGCCCGCCGCCAAAGCCGCCAAGGCCAAACCCAGGTCCACCGCCCGGTGGAAAAAGCATGTCGTTGTCGGGACCAAGATCGCCTGGTCCAATTGGATCGTATCGTGCGCCAGGAACACTCGGCCCGATGCCCCCGCCGCCACGTCCGGCAAACAGCGGATCGTTTGGGCCCATGAGCGAGCCGCCGCCACCAAGTGGGCCACCCAGCGGGCCGCCGCCAAACGGACCGCCGGGCGGAACAATGCCATAGCCAGGGTTGAGATCAGCGTCGCCGAGGTTAGGTCCCGGAATGTGGATTCTGCCTTGGCGGCCAGGTGCCCGAGGCCGCGGATCGGCGCGGCCGGGCGCCCGAGGCCGCGGATCGGCACGACCAGGAGCAGTCGATGACGACGACGGCGGCGGCGCGGCCTCTCCCGACTCGTACCCGTCCTTGGGCACCAGCTTGCGGACAATAGCATCGCGGAGAAGACCCTCGAGACGGACACTGTCTTTGAACAGCAAGCTCCAGTCCCCATCCCAGCCCGCCAGCGCCTCACCAACAACGTGGTCGTCGACCTTGACCTCGAGCGGGAACAGATCCTCACTCTCGACAATCATGGCGGTGATGAGGACCTTTGAGCCCATTCGGAGCACCTTGACCTCAAACCGCAACGCCGACGCCGTGTGTGCATACCGAAAGCAGAACAGATCTGGCCCGCTGTCCTGCCATCCGCGTGGGAACACCAGCATGCCAGGCGCCGCGTCGACAATAGGAGCATCCACCGGTGCGATCGATGCCTGCTCACCTTTTTCTCCGCCTCCATCCTCGCCCTCGCCTTGACCAACGGCAGCCATCGGCGCCTCATCACAGCCATCGCCTCCAACCTCGTCCTCACCCACGCCGATGCTCTTGAATCCGCCGTCCACAATCAGTAGCGCATGGAGATAGCCCGCCAGCGCTGCCTGTCGGCTCGCAGGCACCACCGCCGGCTCGAGCGCATTAAGCGACTGCACCGCCCGGCTCTCACCCATAACTTTGGCTTCGCCATGACTACCTCTGGTACCGCTTCCGTCCTCCCCGTTAGCCCTTGCAGACATGCTTCGACTCTTGGCGATGGGTGCCTGGCTCAGTCCCGGTCACAGGCCTTGGTGCCGAACGAAGGTCGCCGCCCAAACTCCAGCGCGACCGCTTCCCCGTGACGCACTCGCTGCGCCCGATCGCTGCCCAGACGTCGGCTCAGGACCGATCGCTTTGTGACGGATATCGACACATATCACACAAGATGTGGCGTACAGTGGGAGGAAGAGAATGTGGTTCGTATGATCTCTGAGTTTTGGGCTTGTCGCACGTATCGCCATCATAAGCCCCCCCCCCCCCCCGCCATCGCACTCAACCTCCATCGTACGCAGTCTCGTCCTCACCACCCACACACGCACACACGCACATACTTACAATACCACTCCCCTTTCCTGAATGATCTGGTCATGGTCATCTACACACACGCGCCCGTACTAGCGTTATGATCGCCACCATCTGCTCTGGGCTGCCGCATCTGCCTTTGCTCTACCACATTCATGTGATCATGCTTTTTTCGCTTGTCTCCCTCGGCCGTCTTCCGCCCCGCACTCTGCTTTTATCTCTGCTTCAGGGCCATTCATCCTTTCATCATCATCATCATCGCCCTCTCTCTTACACTCTCTTATTACCTATGCACACCATGTTGGAGTTATACACATCAGCTGCGTCTCCTCTGCTCTTTTCCGCTCCCTCGGCATCGATTCTGCAAGTACGCGGCAGTCGATCCACACTGCGAAAAACTTGACGTAGCCCCATCCCCCGCCAGCTCATCTCCTACTCCATCCCCGACTCGATCGCCTGTATTTTCTTCCTTGCTCACCCCTCCATCTCACTCTCTATCGATGTATGCCACTTATGACCTGCTTACACCTCTGATTCCGCTCCCATCGACTCCAGATTCCGCCCTATTCTGCCTCCATCGATTCCGATCACGATCGACCGCCCCTCTCCTCCCCCCCCTCCGTCCTCCCATTCTCCTCATCTCCAGTCGTCCTCATCCTGTTCCTCCCCTCCCTCTTCCCCCTCACATCTTCTCATTTCTTCTCACTCTCCCCCCATCTTCCCCGATCGATGTCGTCCTCCCCCCCTCCGTCCCGTTCCCGGCCGGCCCCGGATCAACCTTGACCGCATCTTAATATTCCTCAAGTTTTGAAACGAGTGCTATCGTCTAGAGTGATTTTGTAAAAAATCCGCCCGACGTAGCGACCGAATGACTCCAAACGGGCCCATTACTCTCCGTGTGGAGTCAGGGCTGGATAACTTTGCACGACTTTGCCAGACGACACCGTGCATTCCATTTATCATGTTGCGGGAACCCAGCTCGCTCACATACATACATCTCAAAACGTCGCAGCACAGACCAAAGAGCAGGTACCCTCGCCGTGCCG